CTCCTTTCTTAGTTCTTGTTCATTTCAATGTATGCCTAGAGAAACCTTCCCACACCAACACTTTTCAACTTTTTGAACACACCTCTAATGACCTTATCCTCAAATCTACCTCAGCCATTCACTTCTATGGTCACGCCCTAGATTTTGTCATAATGGAAAGCTACAGATTCCCTGTAATCTCATTTTTTTGCATTTCAGTTCTCTGATCACCACCTTCTATATTTTTTAGCTCAGTCCTCCTTCTATCTAGAGAACCTTTATTTAATTTATTTATTTACTTTGGCCACACGACACATTAGTAGTGGAATTATGGAGTCCTAACCACTGGACCACCAGGGAATTTCCATTCTAGAGGACCCTTTAATGCCATCAGAGGTCCTCAAATCTATAGATGCTACTGTTGTTCACTTTTGTTGCCCCTATTTCTCCTCCTTACCCAGCTTAAATTCCATGGCCAATCATGTCTGGGTCCTGTGCCTCCAAAACTAGCAGGGCCTCCTTAAATAGAGAAAATCCCCTTGCCATTTCCTGCACTGGGAATCTCTTCGGTTCTTCAGTTACTTCTTCCTCTTGTCTCCATCCTTTCTCTGTGCACATTCACATCTGTGAAAGTTCAAGGCTTGAAGTTTCATCTGTAGGGGACTTACTGTAACTACTATTAATGCTTTGAGGCACTATATATACAGTGGGTCCACCCTCCTGCGTCCAACAGACACCAAAATCTGTGGATGTTCAAAATGTTTTATATAAAATGTTATATTATTTGCATTTAACCTATGAACATCCTTTAAACCACCTCTAGATTACTTATAATACCTATACAATCTAAATGCTCTGTAAGTAGCTATAAAGACAGTGTAAACTCCATGTAAATTGTTGTGAGCAGCAGCAAATTCAAGTTTTACTCTTTGGAAGTTTCAGGATTTTTTAAAAGAATATTTTCAGTCCACAGTTGGTTAACTCTAAGGATGCAGGATCCACAGATATGGAGGACTGATTGTACACGTACAAGTGTGTATATATGTGTGCGTTAAGTCGCTTCAGTCGTGTCCAACTCTCTGCAATGCTATGGACTGTAGCTCACTAGACTTCTCTGTCCATGGAATTTTCTAGGCAAGCACACTGGTGTGGGTTGCCATGCCCTCCTCCAGGGGATCTTCCTGTATATATATATATATATATATATATATACACACACATACATACATACACTATTTTTGTATTCTGTTTCTTCGCTTTACAATATTATGGATGTCTCTGTCAGTAACTGTACCTTAGCATCAGTTTACTAGCTACGTGACATTCCATTGTAGAGACGTCTTACGATGTAGTCTCTGCCTCCCCTCCCCACCCCATCCACAGTTTCAGTTACCTGTGATCAATCTTTGCTGAATATATTAAATATATTAATATATCTCCACATATTATCATATGTGGAAAATTCCAGAAAGAATGCTGGAGTTTTAAGTCGTGCATCATTCTGAGCAGCATGATGAAATCTGGTGCCACTTAGCCCTCCCTTTTGGTTATCAGATTGACTGAGGGGGTATCTCAGTGCTTGTGTTCAGTTAACCCTTATTTTACTTAAGAATGGTCCCCAAATGCAAGAGTAGTGAGGCTGGCAATCTGCATATGCCAAAAGAAGTTGTAATGTGCTTTCTTTAAATTAAAATGTGGAAGTTCTTGCCTTATTAAGGGAAGGAAAAATATTGTGTGCTGAGGTTGCTAAGATCTACGGTAAGAACAAATCCCGTATCTGTGAAATTGTGAAGAAGGAAAAAGAAATTCATTCTACTTTTGCTGTTGCACCTCAAACTGCCAAGTTTATGGCCACAATACATGATAGGTGCTTAGTTAAGGTGGAAAAGGCATTTACTTTGTACAATGAGATATTCTGAAAGAGAATAAATGCACAAGTGGGTGAATGAATGCAATTCATATAACATTTATCACAGTGTTATGATTGCTTTATTATTCTTAATCTTTTACTATTAATAATTTATAAATTAAACTATGATAACATAGATATACTTGTGCAAGAAAGAATAGAATATATAGGGTTTGGTACTATCTCCTGTTTCAGGTATCCACTGGGGGTCTTGGAACATAGAATAACGGAGATATAGAAGATAAAAGAGACGGAGAGTTTACCATAGAAAACTAGTCCTCTAAAGTTGGATGGTGCAGTAAACATCTATAATACACACCCGGTGCTTATGTGTTTATTCTGAAGGGTTAAGAGTTCAGGCTGTGGAAAGGGCAGATGTGGAAACAACAGCAGAGGCAGAGGAGACTGAAAAGAACAACGAATGTATGAGAAAGGCTGAATATTTTACTTTGGGCCATAGGGCACCGTAGCCAAGAGCACGGAATAAGTCTTATGATGATATGTGAATAGGAAAGAGTTCCCAAAACTTTCTCTCACTTAATCCTGGACTATGTCAAGTATGGTTCCAAGCACTTTATCATGTATAACTTATTGGAATTGGAGGTACTAGGAATCCCCTGATGGTTCAGCGGTTAGGACTCCATGCTTTCACTTCCCAGGGCGCAGGTTCCATCCCTGGTCAGGGAACTAAGATCCACATGCCATTCAGCCTAAAAAAGAAAAAAATGCAGGTATTATTGTTATTCCTATTTGTAGGCAAGGAAATTGAGGGACAGAGATGTTTTATTGCCCATGGTCACTCATGGAGATTACCCATCTAGCAAGAGATGAAACCAGGATTCAAATTAATGCAGTTTTTTGGACCCTGTGGGAGAAGGCAAGGGTGGGATGATTTGAGAGAATAGCACTGAAACATGTATATTATCATATGTGGAACAGATCACCAGTGCAGGTTCGATGCATGAGACAGGGTCCTCAGGGCTGGTGCACTGGAGACAAGGTGCTCAAGGTGACCCTGAGGGATGGGATGGGGAGGTGGGAGGGGTTTGGGATGGGGAGGTGGGAGGGGGGTTTGGGATGGGGAACACATGTACAACCATGGCTGATTCATGTCAATGTATGGCAAAACCCACTACAGTATTGTAAAGTAATTAGCCTCCAATTAAAATAAATTAATTTAAAAAATAAAATAAAATAAAAACAAATCAATGCAGTCTAGCTCCAGTTGTTGTTGTTCAGTCACTAAGTCATGTTCGACTCTTTGTGATCCCATGAACTGCAGCACCAGGCTTCCCCAGCCATCATTAACTCCCCAAGTTTGCTCAAACTCACGTCCACTGAGTCAGTAATGCCATCCAACCATCTCATCCTCTGTTGCCCCCTTTTCCTCTTGCCCTCAATTTTTCCCAGGATCGGGGTCTTTTCCAATGAATCAGCTTTTCGCATCAGGTGGCCAAAGTACTGGAGCCTTACCTTCAGCATCAGTTCTTCCAATGAATATTCAGGGTTGATTTCCTTTAGAATTGATTGGTTTGATCTCCTTGTTATACAAGGGACTGTCAAGAGTCTTCTCCAGCACCACAGTTCAAAAGCGATTCTTCTGCGCTCAGCCTTCTTTATGGTCCAACTCTCACATCCATACACAACTACCAGAAAAGCCATAGCTTTGACTATATGGACCTTTGTGGACAAAGTGATATCTTTGCTTTTTAATACACTGTCTAGGTTTGTCACTGCTATTCTTCCAAGGAGCAAGCATCTTTTAATTTCATGACTGCAGTCACAGTCCTCAGTGATTTTGGTACCCAACAAAATGAAATCTGACACTGTTTGCACATTTTCCCCTTCTATTTGCCATGAAGTGACAGGACTGTATGTCATGATCCTAGATTTTTGAAGGTTGAGTTTAAGCCAGCTTTTTCACTCTTTCACCTTCATCGACAGGCTCTTTAGTTCCTCTTTACTTTCTGCCAATAAAGTGCTATCATGTGCATATCTGAGATTGTTGATATTCTTCCCAGCAATCTTGATTCCAGCTTGTGATTCATCCAGCCCAGCATTTTGCAAGATCGCATTTCACAAGATGTATTCACCCTCTTGGAGATGGTGAAGGACAGGGAAGCCTGGCATGATGCAGTCCATAGGATCGCAAAGAGGAGAACACGACTGAGCGATTGAACAACAGTTTGCATATACATTAAATAAGCAGGGTGACAGTATACAGCCTTGACATACTCCTTTCCCAATTTTGAACCAATCAGTTGTTTCATGTCCGGTTCTAGAGCCTCACTGCTATTAACCAAAAACCATGGTGGAGTGGCAAGCTTAAAACCCAGCCCTTACAGACTTCAAATCTTTGAAACACGAGTAATCGGTGAAGGCATGAATTAACATTGGCTTGATCTGTTCCCCTCATACCGGGAAAAGTGTGAAGCACATTAGCTGAGACCATAGAAAACTCCATAGATTCCTCATCTCTAAAATATCCATTCAATGGACATGAGTTTGAACAAGCTCCGGGTGACCGTGAAGGACAGGGAAGCCTGGCTTGGGGCAGTACACAGGGTCGCAGAGAATTAGACATGACTGAGCGACGGAACAACAAGAAATTTAACACTAAGCACTGATCCATAAGACGGCCGGTTTGCCTGAACTGAACCGATTTCAGGCTTTAACAGCTAAGAGCCCGGCTCCGCAAACTGATAATTAAATTGCAAAAGGCGTGGAAGCCTCCTAGAGAAACAGTTTCCCGCCTTCCAGCCGGTTGCAGGTCTCTCGAGAAGAGCCTCGCTAGTTCAGGGCTGTGACGTCAGTACAGGCACTAGGCCCGCCCCCTGGGATCTTTCTGCTTCTGCGCGGTTGAGTAACCTAGGAGTTTGCGCTCTTAGCTCTGCCCACTGCCCCGGAAGTTAATGCAGAAGCCACACCCCCTACTCGGCCGGCCGGGACGGAGCCATTTTAATTCATATCTGAGTGGGCGGTGGCAATTCGTGTTGGCCGTCTGGCTCCGCAGGGCAGGGGCAACTTTACTGGTTTGGGGTGGTTTTTAGTTTAATTTTTCTTTTCTAGCTTGGCATCGCGGGCCAGTTCGTAATTCTTATCGGCTGAGGCCATGTCAGGAGACGGAGCCACGGAGCAGGTGAGGAAGGAGAGTGGTGGGGCCTCGTGGCGACCTCTTCTCTCCACGTCTCTTTTCGTCCGAGTACTCCAGCCATATTCGCTTGAGGAAGGAATCAGGGGTCTAATGAATCCCAAAGGCTGGGTACAGAAGTACGGTGGGAATGGGGAGCGAGATCTGACTGAGATTTGAAACTCTTTTTTTGCCTTCTCTGTCTTAGGGGTTAATACTAACAAATATTTGATTTAGACAATAGCTGGGAAACTACTTCGTCCTGTTTAGGTTTATGGGACTTACCCGGTGAGATTATTTCGTTTAATACCATTTTGGTGTTTAGGGGTTAGGAATGGATCATTTTAACGTGTACTCGCTGTTTTCGAAAAACTTGACACTGTTCTCTCCAACCACCTTTCCGATATACACTGTACCCAGAAACTGGTTACTAGTTTGAGAAATAATTTGACATGAAACTGATCTGAAGAAATAGACTCTCGCCAGAGCGAATGAGGGAGGAATCGGTTTAGCAGTAGAGGATCGTTATGCCAAGTTGGGAATTTTGTGGCTTTCTCCCGCTCCATCCCTTAGCATTTCATTTTCGTTTTTCCAGCGACACAGATAATTGTAGAATTTGATAAATCCGAAATGAGAAGTCCGATATGGCCACTGTAAATAAAAACATCTGTTTTAGTCCTGGATATGTGACATATAAGTATTACAAAATTCAGGTTTTTTGTTAAATGATTTGTTCCTTTTGCTTTTTATTCAGAATTTTGTAGACTAGTCTTTATCTTTTAGTTTGAAAGAGGAAACTGATATTTTATAAAAGATGTCGAGTTTTTTTTCGATTTAAGTTCAGTATGTTTAGGTAAATGGTTTTTAAGATGGAGGCTAGATAGACTGCAGATTTCAAGTTCGAGTTCCTGAAATTTCCCATTGCCATAGCAACGAAATACACTTACGTTTCCGTTTTTCAAGCGCCCGGCTTGTGGAGTGGGAACTGTTCTTGGAGGTTGACAGAGATGAGGGAAAATTGGAATGTTTCGGTTGAATAGAGTGACTGTAAATTTTATCGTGGGGAAAGTTTGGGTAAACTGAATTTTGTGTTTCCTCGTCGACAAATTTCTGTCCTGAAATTTTTACAGTATTTACATTTTACATGCTGTTAGAATGCCCAAGATTGCAAAGTCTTAAAATTGTTACGTCACATTTGTTTACATATACTACCCTTTTTCTGGGTTCATGTTTTGTAACCTGCAGGTGGAGAAGGACTAATGTACTAAGGTTTTCATTGAAAGTTTCACGAATTCACTGTTAATTCTTAAATTTATCTAAAATTGTAAACATAGTGAAATGGTGCCATGACCTTTTCACCTCAGAACTGTGGTTTTTTAAGTGGGAGAGAAAGTGGTAATTTTTTGAAAAAAGTTTCACCCGTTAGTTTTATGTGCCAAGTTTAGGACATAAAGAAAAGAGCAGTGAATGCCTATAGTACAGTTCTTCACCTAGAATCGACAATTGTTGAGTGTTTGCCATATTTGCTTTATATCTTGTACATACTTATTTGAAAGTAAGTCACATATTCAGCCCCCCTTATATCAGCATTCTCTTATACAGGATAAGGACCTTAATCCTATTTATAACCATTATACCATTTCCCATCTAAGAAAATTAATAGTAATACTGTATCACTTCTAAAAATTAGTCCTTATTCAAATTTCCCCAGTTTCTCCAGAAGGCAGTGTGATTCATAGAGTTTTATTATTTTAAAAATCAGAATCTATAATCTAGGTTGTTTGCATCATTTGATTATGTCTCTTGAATAGTCCCTCTATTTTTTGTCCCCTAGGATATTTATTGTCTATTCGAAGAATCCCGAACAGTTCTCTTGTAGACCTTCTCATTTTCTGTCTGGGTTTATTTGATCTGTGTGTGAGTTATCATCTAACTTGTTCTTTCATATTCTGTATTTCCTGGAAATTAACAGTTATGTCTAAACTCAGAGCTTTGATGATATTCAGGTTAAATATTTTTGTGTAAAATATAGCATCGCAATAAAAGGCACTTGCTAGGTTATTCCACTGTTAGCAATGGTTTAAGTTTGTTCACTTGGTTAGGGTAATGACTGCTGGGTCTTTTCATTATAAAGGATTATTTCCCCCTTTGCAGTTAGTAATCTGTGGGTCGATAACTGTGTTCCTCAATAACCTTTTACCTAGTTATTTATTGTCAATTGATAATCCTTGAATAAATCAGTTATTTCCTTGGAAATGGCAAATGGTGATTTTCTTTAAAAAAAAAATTCTATTCTGTCTTTACTTACTGGCTCATATTTTTCCTCAAAGAAGAAATTCCTGTTTTCTTTCCCCCTCCTTTTATTTTTTTTTATTTTTTATAAGTTTATTTATTTATGGCTGTGTTGGGTCTCAGTTGCAGCATTCTGTCTTCTGTCTAGTTGTGGATGTGACACACGAGCTGCTCTGCAGTATGTGGGATCTTAGTTCCCAGATCAGGGATTGAACCCACGTCCGCTGAATTGGAACGTGGATTCGTAACCACTGGGCCACCAGGGATGTCCCTTTCCCCCTCCTTTTAAAAGATTGAGTATTGCTGTGGATTCGTGTTTTCTGAATTTACTATGCTAAATTCAGCTATAGCTTTTTTTTTCCCCTTAATGCTTAACTTGTCCTAACTTTTATGGTGCTTCCTGTATCCTATATATTTTTCATCAGTCTGTAAGACATTTTTTCACATCTGATGACCAACAAAGAATTATCTTCATATAATCTTTTGAATTTTTTTAAGATGCATTTCAAACATGCAAGAAAAAAGAATAGTATAATATATGATGCTTCTATCACAGAGTTTTGTCACAGCTAAACCTGTTTTCTCCATACTTTCACTTACTTTTCCCACCTCCATTTTGTTTTTATTTAGTCGATAAGTCATGTCTGATTCTTTTGCAATCCTATAGATTGTAGCCTGCCAGGCTTCTCTGCCCTTGGGATTTCCCAGGCAAGAAGACTGGAGTGGATTGCCATTTCCTTGTCCTGGCGATCTTCCCAACCCAGGCATCGAGACCGCATCTCCTACTTGGCAGGTGGATTCTTTACCACTGAGCCACCTGGGAAGCCCCCCACCTCCATTACATTTGAAGCAAATGATATTGTATCATTCAGCTTTTAACTGGAATAGTGCTTAAACAATACCTTGAAGGGTGACATGATCAAAAATATGGATCAACTAGCTTGCTTGATGTGTAAGACAACAGTCAATGAACATTTAGGGGGAAATTGATGATGAACAAGGGGGGGGGAAGACTAAACAAAACTGAAGAATAATAAGAAAAAGATCAAAACCACTCTGAATCATGGATTTGCTTTGGAAAGATGCCAAGGGGTTTCCCTCCTTCAAGATATGAATTGTAGATTTATTTTAGCTGTTTAGCATTGAAACTCAGAAAAATGATAATTTGTTCAGTAAGCCTGATATTTTAGATTTGTTATTCAAAAATATAGATGGTCATTTCTTGGTACTGAATCTCCGGATTTGTGCTCTGTGAAAGAGGGAAATGATTGTAGACAAGCAAAATCAAGAGTGAGGTTTATTGTTTTTTTTTTTTTAACTCTTGTAAGGATGTTCTATTTTACATCTAGAGTGCTGTTTAAATTACTTTGCAGTGTTGGTGGGTATTCTGGAGCCACGTGTTTGCCAGTTTAGTCATGACAGAACCACATGCGTATAGATTGTCCCCCTGACAAAAGCACATCTGGTTCCCCTATGGAATTATGGCTCTATTTTTATCTTGTACAGTTTTTCTAAGTGCTTGATTCAACTTTTGATCTCATTCTTCACACCATTTTATCTTGTGCACCACCTCTACGGCATTTAATAGGCTATTTAGAGTTCCTTCACTGAGTTTTGAATTGAAAGGGCTGCCTTATTCACCTTAAAAACCTAGATCACTGTTTCGGTAATTAAAGTGAAATGGATAAATTTTTGCACTCAGGCCATATGCTATATGTTACAAAATTTTGTAGAATTGTATTCTTTGGGAAGACAGGTGCTGATAATTACTGATAATACAAAGTAAAGTATTTTGGGCATAAGAGTGAATGGTTTCTAAAGTTTTGTTTTACCAACAGAAAAAGAGGAAGGGAGAAATGTATTTGGCCAAGTCAATTCCGACGAAACTTTAAGTCCCTAAACTTCTGATTCTACACTTCTGTCTTTCAGAAGTAAAATTTCAGTTTTCAAACAACTCATAGCCTATCCTAGAGTTAAGAAGGCCTGAAGTATAAAAAGAATGATTTTTACTTTGGGGAAAAAACAATTACGTGACTTGAAGAAGCTCAAATTAATTGCTAATAAAGTTCTTAAAAGAGGAGAATTCAGGACCATTAAAGTGTTTTGCTTTTGGTGAAAAATAAGTTTAGGAAGATATAGAAAATATGAGAAATATATGTGTTCTATTTTGTACTTACTAATTAGTAAAGAAAGATAAAACAGTGTTGAAACCTGATTTATTTTGTTGAGTAACCATTAGTATCTAGTAGCAGTTAAAAGGAAATAGTGCCTATTTTAAACCTAAGTGGATGTGTGTGAATGTTAGAAGAGGAAGGGAAGAGGCCAAGAATATATGTTATAATGATAATCTTTTCTTTGGATCCAGTTATCTTTATCTGTTTTTAACAAAATCTTTCCGTAATAGCTTTTTCTAACTCCCCCCCCCCCATCCTGTTTTAAGTGATAGTGTAACAGTTTTGGACAGGCAAGTTTGATTTGATCATATTGTTAATGTTTCTTGAGGAAATTGACTGTATAGGACACTCTATCTGGCAGTAATTGTTCCTAAGAGAGAGATCTGTGTTTACAGGAGTGCTCGTTTTCCTGAAAAGTACAACAGGGAGGTTGTGTTAGACAAGATTGCATTCCCTCTTCGTTAGGAACACGAAAATGTGCATCCTAGATAGGCCTTCCAGAATGAGGAAATCTGTTCAAATGTTTGTACCTATTATGTGGAT